ATGAGGAGTGGGAGGCCCACGGCAGCATGGAGGTGCGAGGCGAGGCCAGCCTTATCCTCGTACAGCCTTCGTGGCGTGGGCGGGAGTCCTCTGGCCAGGTTCTCGGCGCCCGGCCAGTGGCCCGAAGCGGCCCGCCCCAAGCCTTCGTCGCCCGCAGCCAGTCCCCCATCCGCGGCCGGCCTCGTGCTGCCAATCACTCCCCCGTGCGAGGCCGCCACCCCTCCCCATCGCGGCCTCCCCGCGACGCGTCTCCCATCCGCCCCGTCCACCAGAGGAAGGCCCCGCCCTATCGCCAGATGCAGCACGCCAGAGAACGGTTTGTGAATCTCTTGCAGTAATCATCCTGAACGCCTGAAAATGTCACAGTAATCATTTATGAGGCCTGAAAGTGTTGCAGTAATCATTCGCGATGCCTGAAAGTATCACAACACTTATCCATAACACTTGAAAATGACACGTTTACATGTCTCATGGTTCTGGTGTGTTTTACAGGAGCGAGTCACCAGTCTCTCCTCGTGAGAGGTTTCAGGATGCACGAGAGAAGTTCCGTTCCCTAGAGAGAGAGTGGCAGCGCCCAGATCGTCAGGACCTCAGCACTCGTTCCCATCCGCATGCGGACATTACCCGGACACCTTCCTGGGAGCCCAGTCCGAAGCCTCAAGGCGGCGCAAGGGACTTCCGTAGCCCTGTGGAGCAACTGCAAGCCGGCCGTGATGAGGGGCTGTGGCCCAAGAGCGATCGTGACACCGGCTATGGGTCCCGGGATGGCCTCCTGCGGGAACGTCCGCGCGGCCGTGACTGCGACCGAGGGTACGGGACATGTGACACCCGAGACTCTGACCCGTGGCGGCGCGAGGTCGGACGCCGCACTCCTGACCTGTGGCAAAAGGAGCCACGGGCATCGAGCCCATCGCGCGTGGGACGCGGCCGCAGCCCCAGCAGAGAGTACCGAGTTCCGCGCGTGAGATCGCCGGAGCGCCCAGACTACCAGCGCGCAAAGTCCATGCACGATCTCAGCCAGCGTCGCTTGGCACACGAAGAAGATCGTCGAGCGCTGAATGATCCCCGAAGGAGATCAATGTACGACGCTGCCGAGGACTCCCGACCCTTGAGGGAATCCAGGTCAGGGCGCCGGTATCGCTCACACGCCAGTATCCGCCGACGTAGTTCTTCATGCAGTTCGGAATCGTGTCATTCAGTTGACAGTTACAACGAGATCCCTGACGCACGCAGATTTCCTGGCCTCGACCGCGCTACCGCTAGACCGGATCCCCTAGACCAGCCCCGCCTCATGGCCCAAGCCAAGCGCACCTTTGACTACCCTGTTAACGGCGGCACAGCAGCCGTCCACATCAGTCGTGCACATCACGATGACTATCGCCGCTTCCGGTACGACCACACAACCACTCCACAGTTCATTCGCTCAACATCAGTTCCTTCCACTCAGTACTAGATTTTGCACCAAGGCAATGTGAACAAATTGGCCGGATTCCTACTAATCGCTTACGTATTCAGGTTCTCTTATTTCCTTCCATTTACATGCTTTCCGCTTGCGTATTCCGAAATTTATCTGCCTGGTTTGAAACAGTTGCTAGCAAGTGCAATGGGAAAATACTTTGACTGCATCTGTTCATTTGCAATGGTCGTATAAAATAATGGTATGTCAAATAATACTGGACAGTCAAACATGACAATCGGAGTGGTTCTTTTCTGAGTAATTAGCTGTTAATAAACTTAATATGTTCTTTATATCCAGTATATTCACTAAAATTATCAAAGTGTAGCTGTGAATTATATATGTAAGGTATGAAGTGAATAAATTACTGGTCTCTATTGTGTAGCTTATGGATACTCTCGAATGTAAATATTTTGCACTGATTGATTTGGGACCATGATACTACGTATCTGTTTTATTGATATGTTTGAACTGAATGTTTTTTTTTTGTAGATTTTTTGTGATTTTGGCAATGTGTATCTAAAACACATGTTTGCCTGCCATAAATATTTTAAATCTTCCATACCTGGAAGCCCCCTGCTTTGATTCTATAAGCAGACATTGTAAATATTATTGGATGCAAGTGTTTGCTTTACATGTGTGTTTTCATTAGTACTGCGGATGTCTCCCTTCCCTTCTATAAGGCAGCTGCTTTGTTAAATCTGTACTGTTAATTATCGTTAAATTACCCAGCTCTAAAGGCAAGCTTTTTCATAATTTTGATATAATTTTATCCATGTAGAAGACGCAATGAACTTTTTTTCAAAGCAGTTGAAATCTAATCTACTTTATAGAATATTTTCCAACACGATATAAATTGAGCACTTATTATGATTATTGTTGAAGAGTAGTTTCTCTTCATTTTGTATATATAATGTACAAATGTGAACATGTTTGTAAATTTTACCTCAGTGCTCTCAAAGTAAAAGAAAACTTTATGAGTTAGTATCTTTAATAAAGATTTTAAGGGAGATTCAAGCATATTTTTTATATCCTGTAAGCTGTCGAAATAATGCGTTATGAAAAATTACATATACATGTGGAACATATTCATATACACATAACTCTTTGTAAATCTCTCTATATAAGTTGTTGTATTTTCATACAGAAATTTAATTATCCTCCCGGACAAAGATTCGACCCACATACACAGAGACAGAGAGAAGCAGAGAGAGAGAAAGAAAGGAAGGGAGAAAGGAAGAGATAGATAATTATTTATAGGTATTTATATTTATGTTTATAAATACTGTACGGTGGAAGAACGTAGTAACGCATTTTTATATAGAAATCTAAGTACTCTTCCAGACAAAAATTCGCACCCATTCTCTGACAAGCACCTAAATAAAACTAAACATACGATTTAGAAATAATATTGTCAAACCAGAATCTAGACTAACTTCATGGAAATTACAATTCTACTCACACTAGAATATGACCTCGAGTTTGACAGTCTCCGTAGGCATTCGGCGAGTGATATAGTATTCCAGACGTTCCCGAGGTTGCTTCTTAGGGAGATAGAAGAATGCATCAAAAGACTTTTGTCTGGAAACTCCGCTGTCCTACTGTAGTGTGAACAGGAATGCCATTTCACGAAGCTAGTCTAGATTCTGGTTAGACAATTTTTTTGTTGAGGCGTATGTTTAGTTCTGTTATCTCTGGTGCCCGATGCCCAGTGCCCAGGGAGTTCTATCTCTCTCTGCCTCTCTGTCCCTGTCCTGAATGTCTTTCTCTCTATTTCGCCCCCTTTCTCCCTGTCTGTCTTTCTTTACCAAAAAGCAGGTATTTCTACACCACTCTTTATATATATATATATATATATATATATATATATATATATATATATATATATATATATATATATATATATATATATATACACACACATATACATATATATATATATACATACACACACACACACACACACACACAAACACACACACACACACACACACACACACACACACATATATATATATATATATATATATATATATATATATATATATATATATATATATATATATATATATGTATATATATATATATATATATATGTATATATACATATATATATATACATATATATATATATATATATATATATATATATATATATATATATATATATATATATACATATATATATACATATATATATATATATATATATATATATATATATATATATATATATATATATATATATATATATATATATACATATATATACAAGTGTGTGTGTGTGTGTGTGTGTGTGTGTGTGTGTGTGTGTGTGTGTGTGTGTGTGTGTGTGTGTGTGTGTGTGTGTGTGTGTGTGTGTGTGTGTCTGTGTGTGTGTGTGTGTGTGTGTGTGTGTGTGTGTGTGTGTGTGTGTGTCTGTATGTGTGTGTGTGTGTGTGTGTGAATAGTAAAACCCTCTTCCGGCCAAACAAGGTCAGATAACTCGTCATTTACTCCTCGCCGGGGCGATGGTTCTCCACTGGACTTGGAGCCACGCGGCAAACAACCACGCGGTCTATGTCTAATGGCCTACACAAATCGTGGTTATGTACACGATATATTGCTCGGACGCCTACTAACACCTCGCCCTCGAGGCGCCTTAGATTTGCCTCAAGGGTGACCCCACTCGGCTGGTCCTGACTTGCTGGTCACTTCGTTCTCGCGTACGTTGTCCCTGGTGTATCGTTATGGCTGCTCGTCCTTGTCGTCATCCGTCCGTCCTCGACGTCCTCGCACAGGTTCTCCTTGACTTCGGAATTGCCCAGACTTCCACGTAGTCTTCGTCTGTATCTACGGGCATCCGGGCAGGAGGCGTCCTCTTCGGCATCTCAGGGAGGCTACAGCATCCTAAGGTGACCGTTTCTGCAGCAGGGTCCTCCTTCGGTGCTGTGTCAGATATCGGTGAACCAGATTATACACGTAAGAGCCAAGATAGTAAGAGAAAAAGGACAACAGAGAAGAGTGGGTGTTAAGCGCCACTAGCCGATTATTTATATAAACTTGCAGTTTTTCATGTTCGAATTTACGTTATTTTCGTTTTTTTGTGTTTTAGTTTCACATAGTTAAAAAGAAAATAGATGAGGGAGACGCCAGTAGCGATCCGCAGGGACCTGGCTTGAACTACCAACCGCCTCTCATAGATAGGAGAATAAATAAGGAACATGACAACGACAATCTGCAAGGATTTATTTGAACCAATTGTCGGAACACAGAGAAGACCTGACAAATGCGGGCAAAAGAGATACGTCATAGATATTTACGCCTGCAAATACGACAACAACAAACCCTATTAATGAAAAGGTTTTGATGTCTTTTGTTTTGCGTGGAGGAGTGAATGAGTGTGTGTGTGAGCGACAGGGAGTGTCAATGAGAATGAAAGCGAGAGTGACCTCACACAGAGCGGAAATGTATGCCAAACACGAATATTAAAGTTAATATTAACAACAACGTGATAAATTAGCTAGAATCAGTACAAAATTATTTCAACTACCACACTGAATTCAACATTTAATGATATGCGACAGAATGACGCATTAATGAACTCTGATTTGAAAAATATTCACAAGCTTTCTCGCGAGCGAATCTTCTAGGGGTCAGCAAATTTCCCGAGGTAGCCATGTCTAGCTGCGCATGCAGACTTCATTGACGGGAGGTCTATACCCCAAAATACCGTACACGGTACTATACGAAGCTAAGGATAAGTCCGATATGCGAAGCTGAGCCTCTGTCAACTAATGTCGACTCACTAACAGTGTGTCAACTGCTGCTGACTCGGCTTAGTCCTTACCCGCCGTGGTGCCCAGCCACAGCAGCAACTTCTCGCGCCTGGGCGGAGCACGAACCGCCAACCCCTCGGATGGAAAGGCCGACATGTTACCACTGTACTAGCTCGGAGGCTTATACGAAGCGAAACGATCTGGGAAAATGTATAAATATCTATGCTGCGAATCTGTAATGGGTGCTTGTGACATGCCCTACGGGTATCTATCACGAATCCCATGATCGCTTGGGATTTACCCAAAACATACCAGCGACTTCTAGAGGGTGAACAGGGTGTGATTAATAAGTGAATAACTATTCTAGCTTAAATCCTAGCCCTGCATTAATTAATTAACGGGCTCAATAGTGGGTTACACCGATTCAAAAGTTGCCGATTGTACGAATAACTTCTGTTATACCTGTACCTTCTATCATTAGGCGATTCACGCAACCCCGGGTTAATCAGGCATCCCTGTGCACTATGATAGTGGGAAGATAGTAACGCTATACTCAAAATAATAAATTTATATAAAATCGCGTTACAAGCTCCGTTCCAGCGCCGATGGAACGTGTCATCAAATGAGCAATGCAACAATGCTACGCTTTCCTATGGTGCAAACAATTTCAAACCATCAAATCAATGGGAACAGCGAGCTGTCTCTCACGGTATTTCACGCGTTAATCGACCGGAAGTGAGAGAAAGTGAGGTCAGGTCACCCAGCTGTTCAGGCGGGTTTCCTGATTAATGACTGTCACTTCGAGGTCAGGTCAAGACCGGAAATGCGCGATGAGAATAGAAATAAATGAAATGATAATCGTGATAATCATAAAATCACGAAAGCGTTAAATTCTTTGCAGTTGAAACAATATAAATTTCTAATATTGAAAAAAAATTCAAATATTGAAAAAAATATAAATTTCTAAATTTGAAAAAAAAATAAATGTCTAATATTGAAAAAATATAAATTTCTAATATTGAAAAAATATAAATTTCTAATATTGAAAAAATAAAAATTTCTAATATTGAAAAAATATAGATTTCTAATATTGAAAAAATAAAAATTCTAATTTTGAAAAAATATAAATTTCTAATATTGAAAAAATCTAATTGAATACTTATTAAATGAACGATATTCATGTTGGTTGACTACATACCCTGTAATGCGATCTAAGGTCAGAAGAAAGTGAGAGCGTGCCATTTGCTGTCAATTAGCACTTTTAGACAACAAAACTATCGTGAGGGTAACTGTGCATACGGCTTTACACATTTATGGGAGAAAATAGGGAAAAAAAGGTAAAGACCTAAAACGTGTACTCACGTGGTCTTGAATACATGTCGATTGTGGTAACGATGGTCGAGCAGAAATCGGAGAGTGTGTGTCCAGTTTGCGAGCCAAAAGGACGCAACTATCACGCTGCCACCAACTGCAAAAGGCTATGGTGAACAACAGTGATAGTTAACGTAAGTATGGCTCACAACACAAGTTATGGTGCAAACACACGACGAATTTTGGGTAAGTGCCGAGTGCGGGGGTCGCGGCGCCGACCAGCCCCGTGGGGGCGGAAGGCTGGTGAGGATAAAAAGTTCTTGAGCCCCCCAGAGCTAGGGCACGTCTGAAGGCCAAACAAGGTCAGAAAACTCGTGGTTCTTCGAGCCACGTGGCAAACAGCCACGTGGCAAATAGCCACGCGGTCTATGTCTAATAGCCTACACAAATCGTGGTTATGTACACGGTATAGTGTGTGTGTGTGTATGTGTGTGTGTGAATATATATATATATATATATATATATATATATATATATATATATATATATATATATATATACATATATGTGTGTGTGTGTGTTTGTGTGTGAGTAATATATTTATACACACACACACACACACACACACACACACACACACACACACACACACACACACACACATATATATATATATATATATATATATATATATATATATATATATATATATATATACATATATATATATATATATGTATATACATATATCTATCTATCTCTCTCTCTCTCTCTCTCTCTCTCTCTCTCTCTCTCTCTCTCTCTCTCTCTCTCTCTCTCTCTCTCTCTCTATATATATATATATATATATATATATATATATATACATATATATATATATATATATATGTATAAATGTATATACATATATATATATATATATATATATATATATATATATATA